TAATCATCTTCTTTATTCATTTATGTATTGAAGGACACTTAGGTTGCTGCCGTGTCTTGACTGTTATAACTAATGCTGCCCTGAACATGAGGGTGCATATATCTTTTTGAATCTGTGTGTTGTTTTCTTCAGGTAAATATTCAGAATTGAAATTGCTGGATCATCTGGTAGTCCTATTTTTAATTTTTTGAGGAACCTCCATACTGCTTTCTATCGTGGCTGCACCAATTTATCACCAATTTACATTCCCACCAGAAGAGCGTGAAGGTTCCCTTTTCTCCACATCCTCACCAATACTTGTTGTTTGTTCTCTTCTTGGTAGTAGCCATTCTGACGGGCATTGATTTGCATTTCTCTGATGATCAGTGATGCTGAGCATCTTTTCATGTGCCTGTTGGCCATCTGGATGTCTTCTTTGGGAAAAATGTCCATTCAGGTCCTCTGCCCATTTTGTAATCAGGTTGGTTGTTTTTGTTTGCTGTTGAGTTTTGTGAGTTCCTGTATGCTTATCAGATAGACGGTTTGCAAATATCTCCCCCCATTTGGTAGGCTGCCTTTTGGCTTTGTTGGTAGCTTCCTTGGGCGTGCAAAAGCTTTTTAGTTTGACGTAGCCCCACGTGTTTAGTTTTGCTTTTGTTTCAGACAGTGAGAGATGGAGCTTTTGTCTTGGCTTTTTCATCAGCGATGAGGTGCCGTTGGAGAGAAAGGTCTCTTTGTCCTTCTGAGTCTTATTTTGCTCTAAAACGGAGAGCGGGTCCCAGCTAGATGTTATCCAGGCTCCCTTCCAGGTGTAATGGTCTATTTTCAAAAAGGCATTGTCCTAACGTTTGGGGAGTGATGCTCAGGGTACAATTACAATGACTCCCCCCCTTCCTCCCCCCCAGTGTTCATCAGTGCTGCTCTCTGAGAGGGGGTTCTCGGCAGACAATGTTTGGATGATCCTTCGTCAGGATGTTCTTGCCCTCTTAGTTGCTTTAGGTTCCAGTGAAAGGATGTCATAGTGTGTGAGAAGGACTTGCCAACTTAAGGATACATGCCTGTCAGCTCTGTCCTTACTGTCTGCCCTCCTCTTCGTTTCTTAGATGTATTTTTGCCCCATGATTCTGGGAGATGACTCTGTTCCTTAAATTTAACGATTTACAAATGAGTGGATGTTAACTGCTACTTACCAGCTCACATGTAACGAATGACCTAATTTCTGGTGATGACAGCGAGGGGAGAAACCATAAAAAGGACAACCCCATCCTTAGAGCCTTCAGAAAATCCTCATTTCTTCCCAGTTGAGCATCTTTCAGCCCATAATCTGCTCTGTGCTTTATCCTTAGGGGAATCTGGTTAGGGTCATGGGAATAGCCTTTAATTTTTCCTCTGAATTATCAGTGTGGGGGCTCTCTTTGATGGGGCTTTTTGTCCTTCATCTCTATGTTACTTTATATTTCAGAACAACACTCCCATGCTTCTGGAAAAATGATGGTTGTTCAATTTGAATTTGATTGTGTAAACAGGTGCCCCAACTTCTCAGTCTGTTTGAACAGGCTTGGAGGTGGTAGGGCATCTTGAAAAGACTTATTAAGGCATCCATTGAATCCTCCCAGACCTAAAGGAAACAGTATTAGAGCATCAGGACTTCTGTGTGCCTAATCTCATTTATAAAAACCATTCAACTGTCTGGTGTCTCAAAATACAAGACTTAATTCCCCCCCCCCCTTTTTTTAAAGTCAAAAAAGTGGAGGATTACAGGGAAAATGCAATTTGTGTGCCTGGCTTCAAATTTCATTTTTTTTTAAATAAAAATCTAGCATTTGTTCCCTTGAAACAATAGCTAGAAAAATAGCTCGCATTTATGGCTACATG